ATGTAATATTTACAACTTCAATAGATTGTTTACAAATTGCTGGCAATATTTACAAGTTAAATGGTATTCTTACGACATTTATGGCAATATTTAAAAATTACTAGTTTAGAAAAGTATTTACTAATTCAATGGTATTTTTAAGATATTTACTAGCCCATGATCGATCATTAAATATGATCGATCGATCCGAACACACATATGTGTGCTTAATTTATGAATAATTTACAACTAATTCAAGAAGATATACAAATTTTAATGGATCATTTACCTTTTTATGAGAATATTTATAACTTCAATGAATTTTTTATAGGAATATTTACAATTTCAGTGGATTGTCCCCCCCCCCCCCCCCCCCGCGCGGGGGCAAAGGGTAAAAACTCATTTTTGCTAGGCACCAAGGCTTCTTTGACTTATAAATCCAGAGAAGGTTTCAGAACTCGGGCTAATTCCATTTCAGTCTTCTTAGCAGGGAGAGAAATAGATTGCTTTGGATGGTTTCTGAGTTGGTGATCAAGCACAAGAAAAGAAGGGTCAACGACGGTCGTAGATTTTTTTGTCCAGACCCCTTTTGATGTTATTAGTAAAGTGCCGCAATTGTGTTTTCTCACTTTATTGGACTTCGGGGACTTTACGTCGGAGTACTCAGAGGACGTCGAAAGGCGTTTGGGAGAAGATGACCCCACTGAAGATGGCAGATGGCTACAGACGGCTAGACGATTTACTCTACAAAGAATCCTTCTCAATAAAAATTCTATATGAATTGGTCCGACCAAGTAAAGAATTATGTTAATATTACAACTTCAATGGAATTCTTACCACAGTTATGACAATATTTATAATTGCAATGGATTGTTTATGACATTGATGGTAATATTTACAACTTCAGTGGATTTTTTACCACATTTGTGTAAATAATTACTGTATTAAAGGTTTTGTTACTATAATAAAGTTAATAATTACGAGAGTTATCAATTTTTTTTTACGAGAGTTGTGAATGTTTTTTAAGAGTGAGTTACTTAATTTGTAAATAATTTATAAGTAATTGAAGAATATATACCAATTTTGTGAACAAAATTACTAGTGGAGAGCAGTATTTACTAATTGAATGGTATAATGTATGATATTTACTGGTCCGTGATCAATCATTAATATGATTGATCGATCAGAACACACAAATGTGTGGTTAATTTATGAATAATTTACAACTAATCCAAGAAGATATACAACTTCAATGAATCATTTACCACTTTTATGGGATTATTTACAACTTCAATGATTCTTTATGAGAATATTTACAATTTCATTAGATTGTTTACCAAATTTATGGGAATATTTACAACTTTAATGGATTGGTATACCACATTTATGGCAATATTTACAAATGCAATGGAATATTTACAAATATGAAATAACATGATCGATCAATATATATTTTTTGATTGTTCGAATTCACTTGCTATTTTGATCGATCATATTTGTTAATGATCGATCATTTCTCCCCAGTACCTGTATTACGGTGGATTCTTTACGAATCTAGAATAGCATGATCGATCAATATATAGTTTTGATCGATCGAATTTAGTTAATATTCGATCGATCGATCAAATAGGTTAACGATTGATCTTTTCTCCCTAGTATTTTTATTACTTCTGAATCACTTTTAAAATCTGGAACAATATGATCGATCAAAATGTAGTTTTGTGATCAATCAAATACTTACTACTTACTAATCTATCAATTTTTGCACGATCGATCAGTTGGTGTGTTAATTGGTCACATTCTGAAAGTTAGGGATCGATCAGTTAGTGATTGGATCGATCATTAACATTTTGCAACTTCATGATCAATCATTTATTTTGCGATAGATCAATGTAGAGTGTTGTTGTAGCAGAAGAATGGTTGTTCAATCCCCCTCATATTAGCAATATAAATGTGGTAGTCTGAAACTATTCGATTGATCATGTATTAGTTAGATCAATAATTATTTTTTTTTGCTAGGCGGATCCAAGTGACGTTGTTTAGTGTTTTATTCCATACCAACCAATCAGGTTGTCATAGCTAGCTACAACAGTTCCCTCCTATTTCCTCTTAATCCCGCCAAAAACCATTACCCAGCTCCCTCATCTTCTTAACATTGAGCTCACTGGTCTCCTCTTTCTATCTTCCAAAAAATCACCTCACCCCTATTCATCCGATTCCATCTTCTTTGTTCCGAATTTGGTGCCTCCCTCTGCATCACAATCCTTTTATTCCTTGCAATATGGGTTAAGTATCCCCTTTCATTATTCACAAATAGGTTTGTTACATAATAAGGTATCATAAAATTAGGTTTTAATATATGAAATGCTATTTTTTATAAATGGTATGTTTTCAGTGTTTGACATCTCAGAGTGTGTCATACTTGCAAACATTTACATACTGGTATTGATGTTATAGTTGTGAATGAATGTGTTGGTGACTGAGTGTGTTTGAGAAGGATTTCTGAATAGTTTAAAGAAGTGTATGTGTAGCATATACTTATTTATTTGACCTATAGACCATGTGTTATTTGCAGGGTAGTAGCAAGCCCTTGGACTTGGGAAGTCCAATTTGACGATATTTCTAACTTTAAGATATGATTATATTGTTGAATATATTTCAAATGCATCACATTGCATACTTCATATTATGGTACATATTTCAGGGGGAAGAAGAGGTCCCAGGAATCAAATGTGAAAGGCTTGAAAGCACAACGTCCACCTGGTGCATGACTATTTTTCTAGTATGAAAATTTGTGTATTGTAGTGTCAAATTATTTTGTGGTTAATGTTTATTTGATAATGTACCAATTTGTTGTACTTCCATTACAGTAAAGAACAAATGGAGAATATCAAAGGAAACGCTAATAAAAAAGTTACACGCGAGGTATAATTTGTGTTACAAATAGCGAGTGTTGTTTGGAAAAGTGAAATTAACAATGTCTTCCAATTGAACTTGTACTGATAAGGTGATTAAACAACTAGATGACCAATGGAGGAAGATGGCAGATAGTGAGAAACAGAAATACAAAGAAATGTCTATACATGGAAAGAGTGAATATGATCGTATGAAAGATAATTCTAGGGAAATGACAGTACGGGTAAATATATAATGTCAATGTTAATTTTTATATGCATAGTTTACATGATGACATGCCCTTCTCACAACTTGGTGGCTCCTAACATCCCATGCCATCAACTCAAGAAGACGACCATTGGAATCCTACTTACAAATACAATATCCTCTGATATCAGGTTTCATACATTATCACATTTTAATTACTTTGCAAAATTCAGTACATACCAACATGATTTTGATATCCATTTTTTTTTTTTTTTAATAGCAAGTGATAATTGCTTTTGATTCAATTGTGCGCGGGCAGTAGATTAATACTTCTTTAAACATTTTGGATGTGAGTACGACTACATGTGCTTTGTCATTGCCTTCAGTTATTTGGTACAAACTATTCCACGATTTCATTAGCATACTTCCCTGAATACGTCTTGCAGTATTAACGTGTACACATCTGGCCACTAAAATATTCTTCGATAATCAACCTTTTGCTCTACGGCAGCTGACCACACAATGTAGCTTTCTTAAGTTGCATGGAAGGTTCAATTTCACTACGTTGTCTTTCTTGTATACATGACAATGGCAAAATGAAGGAAGCATGTCTAAACATGTAATTATGTTGTTACAATTAATCCCACCTAATGTGCAGTTGTACAATTTATCTGCATCCTTTGCATTACGTCATTGTTAAATCAAATAAACATGAAAGAATGCACAAACCTCACATTCACTGCAACAAAACTCAAAAACTATCAAAGATCAATTTGTTTCTAACTACTACCCAATATATTTAACAACAATCCACCCAACATCTACATCACCCTTGCCAAAATGCCAAATATTACTATACAACAAAAAGATTCACCAAAAAAACACAAAACCAATGTGTCATTTGTTGATGTATTCTTTAAAGTCCTTATAAAAATAATCTAATTTTGTCTCCAGACGCTGCAACGACCCCTTTGTTTCATCCTCGAACTTTTCAAATCGGCCTTCCAACTTTTCAACCATTTGCTGAAGTGTTTGTCCAACCTCACTAGTATCAACATCAGAACCATCTTGACTAGCCCTAGCTTGACTACCCACAACCTAAGCCACCGCTGATGGCTGCTTCACACACTTCGCCCATTTCACACCCAGAATAGCTCCTACACTTTTATTAAGTGTACCCATACCCATTGCATTCATGGGGTATATAAAACTGTCATTCTGCTGAAATTCAACCCTACTATGCTTCAAAATCTTAGAAATTAATATTGAAAATGGAAGACATGGCCTGCAATCCTCGACAATAGATGCTCCACGAACATGGTTGAATATGTAAAGTGGTAGATCAATAATAACCCCACATTCAGCAATAGCATATAATAGTTGGGTTGTATCCTATCAAATCTCAGCAATATGCCCCATCGGATGTATATTACAGGCAACAATTCGGTTTATCATCCTATACATTGGAGTAAGGTCAATGTGAGTAATTTTGTTTTTCTCATTCTCCCAAGGGACACTCCCAATACAAATACATTGAATAACCCTCGTCATTTCAGGAGCTTGCTCCTTACTTGAATATGGAAAGACAATGAAATTTTCAGGAATGTCTAGTCTATCAATTTTTAATATATTTGAAATAAGATCAAGCGAAACAGTGATGAATATCTTCTTAACCATTGTCTTAAATGTCAGCTCATTTCCTTCTAGTCATGAACATTTGCATAAAAATACTTAACCAGTTCAACATATGTTTTATCTTCCACATTCACATCAAATAGAGGTTCTCATTTCCGAGCCCTAAGTATTTCAGGGCAATCCACACTGCCTACTAACTCATCAAGGTAAACATCACGCTCAATTAACAGAGGATGTTAACAATAAATGTATTATACCTCTTCTTAACATCTTTATCCACAAAGAGTTTGGCATTGCCAAAACTCCCCATGGCAACCACCTTCTTCCGTTTCTTCGCTTCGCCGCCTAACATCAACAAAGCTCCAATGTGTGACTTTCACTTTTCTCCGAATGAAGATTCAAAATGGAAGTAGTTCGTGTACCCGATCGATCGATTAAAGAGCTTTGGGCTGGTGGGCGATTTAGGGTTTATGGAATTGGGAGATTTTGAATGGGCTTTTGTAGGATTTGGAATGGGTTTTGAATAGGTTTTGTCATATTTGGAATGGGTTTTGTAGGCGTAATTGATTTAGGGGTAATTTTGTGGGATTTGGGGGTTTATTTGGGTATCATCCGATGTTTATTTACTACAATGCCCCCTTACAACACTTCAATTTATAACTCTTTGTGGGCATTTAAGTAAATACATCATACTTGATCTATCATATTTAGTTTTGATCGATCGCAATCCCACTGCCCCTTCAACTTCACCATCTGTAACTCCATGATCGATCATTATACACAATTGATCGATCAGATGTCCCCAGTATTTATGATTTGTAACAATATGATTGATCACTATAAAATTTTGATTGATTGATTTAACTTACTACTTACTGATCTATCAGTAGGTTTACACGATCAATCAAATCTCCCCAGTATTTTTTTTTACTTCTGATTCACATTAAAAATCTGTAATAATTTGATCGATCAAATATTGTTTCGATCGATCAAATCTCCCCAGTACTTTTACTTCTAATTCACAAGACAAATCTACAATAACATGATCAATCAATTTATATATTTGATCGATCGAATTTACTAACTAATTCGATCGATCAAATTTTTTAACGATCAATCATTTCTCTCCAGTACTTTTATTACTTCTGATTCAATTCTTAATTTTGCAACAATATGATCGATCAAATACACTTATTACTTAATGATCTATTATATTTTTACACGATCGATCAGACCCACACAATACTTTTAGTATTTATGATTCAGACTACAGACCTGTCACAATATGATCAATCATCATATACATTTGATCGATCAAATTCAATACTTTTCTTTTTCCTTTTTTCACTTCATCTTACCACATCTGATCGGTCAATATTTAATGATCGATCATATATTAAACTGATAGATTCATTACGTTGACTACAAGTATATTATCCTCGTAAATTTATCCACTATGGTTATAAATATATATTTAATTTTGTACCTATCCCAATTAATTTTGTACATTGATATAGTAAATACTCAATTGCCTTTGTAGTTTGTTCCACTGATTTTCAAAATTTCTCGCTCTTGTTTTAATTATACCATTCATTTTGTTATTTTTCCATTAATATTGTTAACCTCGCAATGATTTTGTAAAAACACCTTATTGAGTCAAATAAGATCGATCATTCATATTCGTAATCGGTCAAATTATATATATATATATATATATATATATATATATATATATATATATATTTTTTTTTTTTTTTTTATTTTTTTTTCCCAAAATTTCCTTTTTCTTACACCACTCCTTATCACATATTGATTGATCATATATTTATTCGATCGATCAATATATAATGATCTATCATTTGTTACATTGATCGATCCATTATGTTGACTACAACAACTATAATATCCTCGTAAATTTATCCACAATGATTGTAAATATAGCTTTACATTTGTACCTATCCCAATTATCCAATTACTATTGTACATTTCTTACTGATGTACTAAATACTCCATTAAATTTGTAGTTGGTTTCACTGAATTTCAAAATTTCTCACTTTTGTTGTAATTATACCATTAATTTTGTTCTTTTACCTACTAATATCGTTAACATTGCAATGATTTTGCAAAAACATCTTATTGAGACACTATGATCGATCATCATATTCGTGATCGGTCAAATTATATATTTATTTATTTTTTTCAAAAATTCTATTTTCTTACACAACACCTTTCCACATAATGATCGATCATCCATTTCATAGATTATGACTCGTAAATTTTTTTAACTTTGTTGTAAATATACCTTATCTTTAAAGGAAACTTATATATCTATACCATATATATAAAACTTTACCATTGATTTTTTGAAATCATAAAATTCAAACCCGTAATTTCAATGACAAAAACTCAATAATTTTAACTAATAAATTACCATGAAAACCCTTTAAAGCAAAAAATTAACTGAACATTTGAAACGAAAATATGGGTTCAAACCGCAAAACCAAACCTTCTAAAACATTGTTTAGATTTCTACATGCATGCTCTAAATAACCCCAATAACTCATACAAACATGATCCATACATTTAATTCTCCATTAAACAATAAATACCTAAGAATGGATAGTACCTCACTGTTTGCTCTCTGTCCACATGACGCAATTGAACCCCGAAAGATGAAGTTTGGGTTCAAATCTTTACACAAACGAACACAAGAAAAGCTGTCTATTTTCAAAATCTCTTCCGAAGCTTCATGGTGTGTTATGAGTTGCTTTTGTCTTTGGTGAAATGTGATGATGCACAAATTAGATTTACGCACCACCTGTCAAGTATGAGTAAATAAATGGAGTAATTAAAGTAGAAAGAAGACGAGAATTATAGTGGTTCGGTCAATGTGACCTACGTCCACTTTCTGAATGACTAGGGTCGTCTGATACTTTATTAATTCAGGAGTGTTTAGGGAGCAGAGAGTACACGCTTTGAGAGGGATAAAAGAGTTGTGCTCAAGTGAGAGTGTGATGATCTTGATGCTCTTGCCCCTCAGTGTTAGTGAGACTTACAATTTATAATCGTCCCCTAACAGATTAAAACGACTTAATAACAACTAAATAACTATTCTGGTGGATTTGGCGACTTCTTCTCAACGGGCGAGGAGGTTGAGGTGCTTTTCATGAGACTTGGTCAAAGGATGCGGTGAGAATTGACTCTTTCCAAGGCGGCGAGGAGGAGACTCCTGGTTAGGGGTGTCCATGGGCGGGGCGGGGCTAGGCCCGCAAATTTTTTTTTTGGACCGGGCCTGAGTAGTGTAGGCCCAAGCCCTTACTCAAGTGAGTTATCGGGCAGGCGCGGGCCGGGCCAGGCCGGGCTTCGGGTAGAGGTAAACTACCCACAGCCTAACTCGTAAGCCTATTGGGCGGGCCTGTGGGCGGATTTGTTGGGCGGACCTGCTTACGGGTTTTTTTATATACATATTTATTTTAAAATAATGAATATTTTTATAACTTAATATTTGTATAAATTTTATTTTTAAATCAAAAGTAAAGTCAAAATGGATAAAAATAAAATAATGAATTATATCTAATAGAATGAATAAATTTCAACTAGATTGACACCTACTAACTTATCTGTGATTTGCATTAATCTACTATTTAAAACTTATATGTTTAATACATAGGAAAAAAAATAATACATTATTTATAATATCTAAATTTTTAAAACTTCAAATTTTGATATTAGGAAACTTATTTCAAAGTTTCAAATTTAATGGTCTAAAAGTATAATTTTTTTTCAAAGAAATAGTGGGTAGGTGGGTTGGGCTTGACGGGTGAGCTTTTGGGCCGGGCTTCGGGCCGGATAATGGGTTTGAGGGCAAACCCAAGCCCTCTTTTTAAGGATATTGGGTTCGGGCGAGCCAACTATCAGGTTTCGAGCTTATTTTTTTCAAGCCTAGTAATGGGACCCGTGGGTAACCCGGCCCATGAACACCCCTACTCCTGGTGATCCTTACTCCAAGATGGTAGATGAAGCTCTTAGATAACTTTTGCATACCCCCTGTTGATGTAGCCCATTGACCTTGATGAGCTTGTCCAGGTGCAGATTCTTTTGGACTTGACTAGCTGGACCTCTTGGAATTGACCCTTTAGGCTTGTAACATGAGTTGGGTCCTTAGTCTTGTAACATGAGTTGGGGCCTTGGGCTTGGCTCATTAAAATGTGCAGTGAGAAACTGTATACTAACTAAAAAGAAAAAAACATAAAAAATATATATATACATAAAACAAGAGAGGGCAAAATTGTAACTTTATGATATCAATCTGCGATTACAATGAAAGGGGATGTCAATGTAATTGTGTAAATAACAGGAGGTGTAGTGAAAATGTCAGAAATAATAAAGGATGTCAGTGTAATTTACCCTTTCCTTTTTAATTTTTATGCTTGTTAACTACCAAAGTTCGGGTTATCGGGTTGAGTCGTTGAGTCCCAAACGGTGCCGCCATTGATTACAGTCATCAAAACAGGTCGAAACCAGTTGTCCATTCTAGGGTTCCAGTTCCGGGAAGAGAGAGAGAAGCAAAGAATGAGTAGGTTAATCTCCTTTCTGAAGAGGAATCCAGCATCACCAGTATCGAGGTAACCCCTTTCGCTGCTCTCCATCAAATTCTCTCTCTCTCTCTCTACTATAAATTGTTGAAATAATGACATTTGAGGCACAGACATTGATATATCGTACATTTGTGGTGTTTACTGAATTATAATTGTAAATGATCTCTAACTCACATACCCGATTACTTGAAATGAAATCGGCTTATTTGTTAAGCAGTTCGGCGAAGTCGGTGGAGGAAGGGACTACCAGATCATGGGGTGTTCGTAAGGTGGTGTCGGGCGCCTTGATTTGTCTAATGGGTGGTGTCGCTTTGAGTGCTCTCGATGACCTTGCCATCTATCATGGCTGTAGCAGGTAAATTTACAATTATATTTGACAGCCATGCCTATTTGTCAATGAAATCGATGTAGTTGTTTGATAGGATGGTGGAATTGATGATGACGAATTTCCAACAATAATGAACAACTTGGGTTAATAATCTAGTTTGCTAGTATTCAATATAAATGCTATTTGGTCCCTGAAAATGATTTAAGCCATCAGATTCATATTTGGGCTTCACGTACCTTTTCTGCTCTTTTATATATGCAAATGGTATTGAACATAAGAAGTTCTGTTGTGTCTATGAGGCCGTAGTGTTGTTCTATCATATCTCGTTGATTCTGTCTGTGCTAGAATTCATATTTTTGGTTATCTTTCTTTGTGTTTGAGCCGCTCATCTAAATTCTAACTGCTTGAATAAAATAGAGACGTCATTCAGACAAACTATATGAGATATTTTCATATTCGCTGGCTCCAACCAAATAGCTTGGGTGGAGATCCTAATCTTACATGTAAACTTGAGAGGCCCAAGAAAAGGGATATGGGGTAGAATTCTTCTGCCTGCAGCCTTCTATGCCCTATCTCACATGTGGCTTGGGATCACGTATACATGTACGGATGGACACACAGTACCGAACAGACAGAGAAGATGCAAACCAAGAATGAATCTAAATGGATTAATGACTTGGCCCATTGACCACCCAAGACCTTGTTTTGGTACTATGTTCGATGTGTCCAACTCAAAACTTGTTATTTATGGATGGAGAGGCTCCTAAACCTTACATGTGACTTTGTGAGGCCATAAAATGGGATGTGGTACTCAATTTGCCTCTGCTATATATATATTACAATTAATCAATGCTATTTCAACCATCACTCTTGTTGGTGGCCATAGTAGAACTATCAAAGTTTTTGTCTTGCCTTGGTGTGCCTCTCTATCTACATGAGGCTACCTTCATTCATATTTCTTTCTTTCTGTTTTTTTTTTTTTTTTATTTTCTAATTTAGGCGAGGGTTAGATTTTACACCTTTATTACTCACCTCTATTTTAAAGAGTTTAATAATTAGTATCAATCTTTGTCATTTGTGCAAACAAATAGAAGATTAAGCTATGGGGTTTGTGTGTGTAAGAGATTGGAGGAAGCTGCTCAAAGATATTTTCTAATCTGATGTATCCCATCTTTCGATAGACGGATAGAGAAAGCTAGGGAGAACATGAAGAAGATGTAATCCTATTCTATGTCTGACAGCTTAATTTTAGTGGCAGTGGAAGTTGAAACTGATATCAGTGAGTTGCATGCACGTTTTAATTTTATTCTTGTTGTTGTTACTGTTCTTGCAGCAAAGCCATTGAGAAAGCCAGTAAGAACAAGGCAATGATAGATGCTATTGGGGAGCCTATTGTTAGAGGTCCTTGGTACAATGCATCACTTGCAGTAGCTCACAAGAGGCATTCTGTATCTTGTACATTTCCTGTTTCTGGACCGCAAGGCACTGGAATCTTTCAGTTGAGGGCAGTTCGTAATGGAGGTTGGTACTATATTTGAGTAGCTTTGTGTGGATTTCTCTTTCTTTTCTTCCTCCTCAAGTTCTTTCATACCTACAACCACTCATGATTATATGCCCAAAACTTCAGCACCATACAAACGATATTGATCTCTGCCTTAATGGTCCTTAGATCCACTAGGCTGTCTGGATTTGGTTTGTTGGGAAGTCTCAAGAGTCCCGGAAAGATAATTTTGGTGAGATGAATGTTATCACCATCTTCATTGAACCCAGAGAAAGAAAAGGGAAACGAACAACAAAAAGAAGTTATAAATTGCACCCCGTTGACTTAAAAAATTGATTCTGCATTCATAACCTGCATCGATGTTGTGAACAGGTGACACTTGGTTTTCATTTTTGCGGCCCCGTGACTGGGATATCCTTATAATGGAAGCTCTCCTCCATGTTCCTGGAAATGAAGAGAAGCAGCAAACATTTCGAATTAGTCTCGCAGACGACCTCCCTGATCCAGCCTGCAAGACATGCATCGATCACCAGTCACCGAAAGCAGAGGAATCAGAGAAGAAAAATGAATCTCAAGCTAGTTAGTACCTGAGAATTTTAGTTTATTTTGGTCGTTTCATACAAGTGTTCAATCCTCAAAACCATTACATAGTAAGTCGGATGAGCTCCAAATTTGCTTTTCTCACTGTGAATAAATTTTGCTGGAGGTTTTCGAATGCTTACAGGTCGTGTTTGGATGATCATGAGGGGGGATTGGATTGGTATTAAGAAATCCCTTCAAATCCAACCAAGAGATTTTTACTTGGGATTTAATTGTAAATTCAATTCAATTCTATGTTTGGTAGGTGACTGTAATGTCCGATTTCTCGGACCCGTTACTTGATTAAATCAATCAATCACAATAAATCACAAATATCTCCGAATACGGGGACAGAGTTCTAATTAACTTAATAAATTTATAATCACAATTTTGATCTCCAAATAACAATAAAAATAATCTACTTATTATAAAAACAAATTTGTTTAAATTATGTATCACCACCACAATAAACCTACAAAGTTAAAAATTGTATAAAGACTCGTACATCTTCAATTCATCAAATATCAATTTTGGTTATTTCCTTTGAGATTATCTTGAAAAAAAATATTAAAAGCGGAGAAGTATACAATATGACAGGAAATAATATGTTCAACAAGAAAAATACGAATGATCAAATACCAAATAATTCAGACGATAAGAATCATGGATAACGAAATCAAGAATCACATTGGACAAGTCACGTAACTCAACTGCTATCAAACATAGTTTCATACTCGACTCCTCATGGTGACATAACAAGTAACACTTTGACATTTAAATTTCATACTCATATTGAACTATTACAGCCCGCAGGGTTGTAATCACAATCGCACCCCTTAGGGTCATAATCACATTTTATCAATTATGCCTCAAGTACACTTTGTACATGTACCAATCAATCTCAGAGTATTTAGTCCAACGTACAAATTAACTGATAAAATTGTCAGAATTTTGATCAATTAGAATAATCAATAAGAATATAAATTTCAGATAATTAAATGACACTCTTTGAAAAGAGATTTAAAATATGGAATCATATTATATACTTCCTCGTATTTCAAAATCATTAATAACTTCAATAAATAAGAAATTCGAAGTACCTCAAACAAGACACTTCAATTTGGTAATAATCAAAACTAAAATTTACTATTTAATTTTTTATCCCAAAATCTCATAAATTTCTCTCTCCCTTCATCTCTTTCTCTCTCTCTTCTTTTTTTTTTTCTTTTCCTCATGCTTGCTCATTATCTCAAAGGGTATTTATAGCCAATTTGTTGCCTGGCCTCCAAGGCTTTGACGTCACTTGTTGGTGTCATTTGGTGATGCATACATTGCATCACAAGACACTTGTCAAAATTTCTTTTTTTTTTTTTTTTCCCAAAATCTTAACACGACACATATTCATCAGATTTGTATATTAACACTTTAAACATTTAATTTTTAAAATGTTATTCAACTTCAAACGTCCTATAATATAGTTATTTGACTCATTTTCACACTAAAAATTTATATTTCAAATCCATTTATTTATTTGAATTTTCTTTTTAAAAAATAACTCTCAATTATACAAAATCATAATTAACAACCTAATTATCAAGTTAGCAATTAATTCATTTTTTACGGGTTAACACAGTGACATAAATAAATATGGGGTCTATGAATTCATGTTAAACTATATTACTTAATTTATCAAGATGTCTATTATTAGGTGAATAGAAGAATAAATTTTGGGATAAATAGTCTTTTTTTCTTCAAATCTAATTTTTCACTTTTGAAACCTACCCTCCATAGTTTTCATCAAACTCATACTTGATTTTTAATGTACTATTTATTGTGGGTAGGAATATGAATTTCGGATTTAAAAATTCTAATTAAACATAATATTAAGTGGTCTATCAAACTATTTTTCTTAAATTCCACCCAAATCTGATAAACAAACAGAAAATATATGACCCGTTTATCATCATGCCTGTTTATTCATATGCATTTTTGTTTCTGAAAATTGTTATTGATCTTATGTTTGCTCCCTCCATGTACTACGAGTTATTCCACTAATGCTTAACTGCTGAGAGTCAGGCGTTAGATGATTATCATTCTTCCTTGAGTGATTCCACTAAAGCACTGGCAGTCTACACTTCATTGGCCGAGTCTGGTGGGAAAAAGGTAGGTCGGGCTGAAATCTCTTTAAATACACTCTGTTTGGTACGATGAAAAAACAAAAGGATGAAAAGTTAAAAAGATTGAAGGATAAAAAGTTGGAGGAATAAATAAAACATCATGTTTAATAAGGAATGATGAAAAAATGGATAGATTAACTTTCCTTCCTACTCACCAAAATTAATCCCTCCAAAATCAGAAAAAAAAGTAGATGAAAAGTTAATTATTTGTATTAAGATGTATCTTATTTGTCTATATATTATGAATACACTAATATCATATAAAAATATAATGATAAAATATGCATTTATATATATCTATATATATATTTTTAAAAAAATTAACAATAAAATAATTAAAAAATAAAAATAAAAAAATTATTTTAACTAGAGATGAAAATTTTCAACTCAACACAAATCTGACATGACATAACTCGATTGTCACTCGTAATCTTTGCCGGCACAAAACAAAAAATTAAAAAAAAAAGTAGTCATTTTTATTTTCATCCATCCAACCAAACACAAAAAGAATGAAAGTGTATCTCTCCTATTTTTCATCCCTCCTACTTTTCATCTTATCTATTAAACGGAACATTATTTAAGTAAGACTTATTATTTATAAGAGAATCTTTTACTCATTAATAATAGATGATCATCAAGAAAAGAATAAAGATAAAATACTTCAGAGGAGATGTGAATTCATATAAGAGCAATGTTATAAGGATTTAATTTGGAGATTATCAGAGACTTAATTCAATGAAATTATTTGATTAATTGTGAATTATAATATTAAATGAAGTATTGACAATCTCTTGGGGACCAGATTAAGAAAAATTTATCTTTCATGAATACTTTTGTTCTAGTGTGAATGATTTGTTTTTAACTAGACAAGAAAAAGGATTAATTGAGATGTACGTAAATTAATCCGAATATCACTGACCTTTGAAAAAAGAAATGAAAGTCATTTCCATCCCAATAATTATATTAAATTACATACCTATGTTAGATCTAAAATCACATTTTTTATCCCTACAATGTATCTATTTGATGATTCCGATGTATGACTTGTTCCAACTCACCTATTTGAAGATAAGTGATTCAGTATCCTTAGTAGGCGCCTCTCTAAAAACTTAGAAAAAAATATTTGTGATATTATAGTATTAGTCTATTTAGCTATAATTGATTGGAAAAATAAAAAAAAAATTAAACTTGAATTTCTCTTTAGAAGTTCTTTTATTTTTAAATTATTTAATTCATTAGCTAGATGCGAGACATGATGTTGTTGGTGAGAGAAATACATCTAACAAAATTTTAAAATAATTTTTTAATGAAAATTATTATTATTACTTTACATAAACTTCCTTTGATGTTTTTACTTATTATTATTATACTATGTCCTTATAAATTTAGAAATGGGAAAGGCTATGGTATTATCGTACTAAAACATATAATTTTTTAAGATTAAATTATAATTTTTTTGAGATATAAATTACAATTTTAGAGGTTATGATTAATTATGGATGGTAGAGATTGATACTGAGAATTTATGATCAATTATGAATGTATGTGATCAATCATGATATTCTCTGAAGTAATTATACCTTCTTATAATAAAATTATAATTTTATTATAAAAAATAGTAAAGCATAGACTTTCCTTTAGAAATTAGGGTTTGTTATCCTGACTCAAATTTAAATTTGAATAAAAAATTTAAAAAATTGTTTCAACTCTTTCGTATCAAATTTATACTAAATCAAGAGAGATTTTTTTTTTTATTTATATTAAAAGAGATTCAAATCTTTATCCAAATTATTAATGATAAAATTTACCTTTGTTTAAAAATTTAATAGTTATTTTGAATTTATCCTTATTTAAATTTAAGTTTGTTCTACTTTAAATTTTAGTTTATGTATTAAATTTTTTCTGTATTAAATCAAATTTTTTATTTAAATATTAATTTATATTTAAATAAAAATTTGAATCATAATTAGTGATATAGTTAGAGTAACCGATTAATGGTCACCGAAGTTGCCAAAAGATATTTTGATTTTTGGGAGAGAGAGGGCGAGGGGGGTTCTGAGCTGTCCCAGACAATGTGTAACTTTAGCGAACCCCCATTGCTTAGCTTTCCCGCGTTCCACGTGGCCCTACTTTCAACGGTGGTATTGAGCCCTGTGAGACCTTTTTGATGGTCCCCACATCTTGTCGGCTTGTCGTTTGGACCAAAGCGTTCTTTGTCCCTGCCCTCTCGTCTCGTGTCTCATACATTGAGTTAATTTCTCGTGATAAATTTCTTATTTTGAGTTTTTTAGATAAATGGGATGAAATAACCCCAACAAAAGTTAAATTTAAACCTTGCTACGTATTAGTACAACTAAATTGTGCATCAATCAAATCAATTCTAGTACAAATATGACACAAGAAGTAGTCTATGGTACTGAAAAATATTTTGGGCACCATACTAATATTTATGGATATTTTTATTATTGTTCTATATATTTTTATCACTAATAAAATTATAAAATAGTAATTAGTACTCTCTTCATTCTTAAATATTTGTCGTCTAATATGAGTAAAAAATAATTACACAAGACTAAAATATTTTTATTCAATACATATTGAGAAGGAAAGGAATATGAAAGACACTTAACCTCCATCTAATTTAATGCATTGAAAAGTTAAGGGAAATTTGCAAGAAAAAATATTAATTATGATTTGGTTTCATTAAACGACAGATATTATAGAACAAAAAAAATTGTGTAAAACGACAGATATTTAGGAACGGAGGAAGTATCTAATTATAAATTTTTTTTAAAATAAAATTTTAATTTTAATTTTATTTTAATAAATAATACAATAAAACATGAATTTTAGTTATAAATTTAAAATATTTGATATTCTATCTTGATCAGAGTATTTTTGGTCTAAGTATAATATTTTAAACTTAAGAGATTTAGGTATTATATACATACAAATTTTAGGGGATCTAATTATAATTTATTAACGGATATATTTATAGCAAAAGTCTAAGTATTACACGTATATAAATTTCAAGGGGTCAGTATATAATATTTCAAATGTCAAGAGATCTGAGTGATTAATAGTTTGTTTGGTATGGTGGAAAAATGAGTGGAAGGAAAGTGGGAGAAAAAAAATGGAAGGGAAGGAAAATGTTTCCATTGTTTAGTATCACAGGAAAGTAGGAGGGAGGGGAACTCTATCCTTCCCGCCTACCAAATATTTTTCAGCCCAAATTTGGGCAAAAAAATTGAGGAAAAAAGTGAAGGCAAGACAATAATTTTTTAAGTTGATCTTTTTTACCCTTTACTTATTGGAGTGAAAAAATATATTTAGAGATAGAATTGTAAATTGGGCATATATGTTTTTTCTTTCCTTTCATTTTTCATTTAATACAAAATAATATAAAATATATTTCTCTTACTTTTCATTCCTCCTACCAAACAAAAAAGAAGAAAAATAACTTTCTTTCCTTCATGGATGGAAACCTTATTCTTTTCACTTTTTCCTTCCTTCATTCTTTCCATCCTTCATACTAAACGGATCATAAGTGATAAACCTCAAGAAGTCCAAATGTAATTATACCTAAAATATTTTAAATAAATGTGCAACTATAATATCAAAAAATTATTATTTGATATCATATTAACTTATCTCTATTAATCAAAATGTAGTAAGTGTAAAATATTTTGTATAAACAACAAAATCGAAACAATATCTATAATTAAAAACTATTATCTATATAATAAATTAGCTTACAATTTAAATTTCAAAAGATAAACAAAAATGACTTTTGATTTTTGTGATACAGATCACTTTAAATTTTACTTTAAAGTTAATTTAACTGCTAACATTAACACCCTAAATTTAATAGGAAAAATAAGCACCTAAGGATGTGTTTGGAGTGACTTTTTTAGAAATTATTTCTCTTAACTACTTTAAACAAAAATAGTATTTGAAACCTCTCCACCACTACCTCTACCACCATCACCATCGTCGTTGTAATCGCCACCACCACCACTACCGTCGTCGTCGCCACCACCACCACTACAGCCGTCGTCGCCGCCACCACTACCACTACCGCCGTCGTCGCCACCTCCATCATCACCACCGTTGTTGCCACCTTCATCATCACTGTTGTTACCACCACCCACCCTTGCCGTCGTTGTCGCTACCATCACCACCATCGTCACCACTGTTGCCACCACCACAGTCATTGCCACCTACCACAACCATCACTGCGTCTGCCTCCCACCACCTCTCACCCCTATTACAAATTGATGCTTAAATTTATTTATCTCTTTTTTATGTTTGTGATTTAATTTTGGATATGAATACAAATATATTTTTTATTTTTTATTTTTTATTTTTTATTTTATATCTTTAGACACAAAGAATAACTAATTATATTATATTAAAATATATTTTTTGATACTATAATCTAACCTTGTCATCTAACTTCCAAAGACAAAGCGTGTTGAGCTAAATTTGGAAGAGAGAGAATTTGGATTTTGGACTACTAGGCCGTTTATTCAAGACAGTATCATGAGCCGAGAAAACCAAATTATCAAAGGGAATGATGTTGTGGGGGGACGGGGTAGGAGAAATCGATGATGGAGTGAGGGGCAAATAGCAGACAGGTGGGTCCCCCACCATCATCGCTCCCTCCACCACCAACACCAAACCCACCTTTGGTTCTCCAGTTAATCTTCCCCCAAACCTACCAAACCTTCACTTTCCTATCACCGATCTGTTTTGTTGCTATCACTTTGTCTTCTTTGTCCTAATTCTTTTGAATCCAACTTGTTTTCCAATTTGTCATGGAAGGTCCTCTGGGTTTGTTGGGTTCTGGTGGCGGTGGCGGTGGTGGAATAGTGTCTTATGGTGGCTCAGCTAATGGGTCGATGTCTACGGTGTCTAAAGAAGAGAACTTGGTCTTGTCCTGTGAGGTTTCTTCCTCATACCCAGATGAGTCTGAGCTTGAGTTGGGTCTTGGCTTGAGTCTTGGTGGTATTGCGAAGTGCAAAACAGCTACAAGGGGTCAATATGCTAGGATCTTGACGGCCAGAGATTTTCCTTCTATGGTCTCCAAGTCTTCACCACCATCTTCATCATCGTCCTCATCTGTGACCAAAGCTAATGCTTCTTCAGCTGGTACCAAGAGAACCGCTGATTCTTTTTCGCCTCCCCGTAATGGTTCCAGGTAACCACCTTTTTAACTTTCATTCTTGTGTTCTCAGATTTTCATTTTCTTCTTACCCCTTAACCCTTGTTTGAATTCATGTATGGGTATTAAGTAAGTGGCTTTGCTCTCTGATTTTCAGTGATAATTTCTTTTCCTGCAATAATTATACATGATCATGATGTGTTTATCTGGCCAATGTGAAAATAATTGGATGGGTTTCCACATATTTGTTTGATTTTCCAATGTTTTTGGCCAAGCCTATAATTTTTACTCTGATCAGAACCTCCCTGCTTTTGTATCTTTTCTATCATTCAGTTCTTGATTTTTGAGGAATTTGATGCTTGAGATGAAATGTTTTTTGTTGCCTTCTGTGGGTTTCTTTTCTTTATTCTCTGTTTAGTTCCCATCTTATATGTGGTGGAATCTACAACAAGTGAACAGCCACAAAACCAAGATTTACAGGAAATAACTATAATAAAAACCCTTCAGTTTTGTATGAAGGCAAAAGTATGGCACGCTATATGGATTTCTTGGAGACTTGTAATGAATTGATCTAGATATAAGATGGCCAGAAAGAGGAAAGAGGAAAGAAGACTGGAACATTTTTTTTCTGATAATTCAGTTACCTGGTAAATCCAAAGGAAGCTCTAAGGATTACACATTTATTTTTTCCAATTGTTTAGAATCGCGGTTCTTTAACTCTGGCTAGGGAACCATTTGATTGATGTATGAGATTATTAAGAATGAGGGCTTTGATGGGCATAGCACAAAATGGTGCTGTGTGCAATTATATAACTCCATTTGTTAAGACATAATTATAAGAATGATATGACACTTGTTGGAAAAATGTCCCCCCCTGCCATAGTAGTGTTGCATTATTGGTTGTTGATGGTAGGGATTCTTTGATATTGCTTCATCTAAGGTACTATTTCTGATATTTTGAGGTAGCAAAAATGTTGGTATGGCACTGCCTTCTGTTCCCTCATTTGGAGATGACATGACGTGGAATTGTTGGCTTGGCCGCTTGACCTTGTTTACTTGGCTAATGGTGTTGGCTATTGTAGCATCTTAATTTTGGTGATTGATAGTTTTTGGTTCTATATCCTTAGGAGTTGGCATCTTTTTTGATATCCTTTTTGTTTCCTGGCATCAGAGCCTGGTTACCAACTAATTATCTGGATGCTCCTCGTCAATGTGCCTTGCTCAATACTACTTTCTTAAAAAATAAGTTCTGGTATGTGTTTTATGCAGGTGTTGATTTTGGGGGTATGTCGTGAACATTTTTTTGGTTGATGCAACTATATTTTTAGGTACTTAATAATGTCTGTGTTTGTTATCCAATAAAATTGACGATTTTCCATTATCATGTAATTTTCTTGAAGCAGTCAGGTTGTGGGGTGGCCGCCTATAAGAGCTTATCGAATGAATAGCTTGGTTAATCAGGCAAAATCACCAAATTTTGAAGAATTTAACTCAACAGCTGATAAAAATAAATGTCAGAATATTGTGGTGGAGAAAACTAACAATGTAAGCAACACAAACAATGACGATGCTGAAGGGAGGGGGCATCCCAAGACTTCCCTGTTTGTGAAGGTGAATATGGATGGAATTCCGATTGGAAGGAAGGTGGATCTGAATGCTCATAGCTGCTACGAGACCTTAGCACAAACGTTGCATGACATGTTCTGTAAACCAACCACTTCTGTTGGGTCACGACGTAAGTTGGACATGCTTTTTAAAATTTGATTTTTTCGATGTTCTAGTTGACTCTGAATTTGTCTTTTGCCCTTCTTATGGTTTAGCATATAGCCAGCTTTGCTAATTATAAAAGCTGGCTCATTTGTTTTCCTTTTGTTGTAAGGTTATATTCTAAAGCACTAACCAGAAGAAACACCTGCTCAGCTTTCTTGTATGTTGCATATGATTGCAGATTAATTTTGAAAATTGTTGAACACATTGATGGATTTGTAAGATAGCAGGCAAATGATCAAAACATTAGGGTGTGGCATTATTGAGTTGTTAATGTGAAAGTTTTTGAAGGTTCATTTGAAATTCACTTTCTTGATTTAAATAACATGATAGAAAATTTCTTTTAGCCAGCCTTTGATATCAATGTTTCTTTGTTTGATGACTGATGGTGATGTCAACCATATGGTCAGGATCAAACGTAGAGGAGCATGACATAATGAAAGAAGCAACAGGCCCTGAAAAATTTTGGATGGATCATCTGAGTTTGTGCTTACTTATGAAGACAAGGATGGAGATTGGATGCTTGTTGGTGATGTTCCTTGGGGGTATGTCTCTTCCATTAATTACAATAAACAAACTTTCCCTATTTATTTCGATGGAGAATCAACCACTGGTACGCTTTTCACTGTGCTGTCAATCACATAACTTTATTTTTGAGTGGATTTTCCTATCTAGTCACACACAGAGGCACATAGTCTTTATCCCTAGGCTTGGACACATGATGCACACTGGTGTTTCTTGCTTGAACCAATGAAAGATTGGAATGGTCGGATGGTTTTAGACCCGATGACCATCATGCTTCGGTAGCATTATATTCATGAGGTTTCCTCCCTGTGGAGGACTACAGCTGAATTATATGGATCAAAATCCTAAATTCATGTTAATAATGTATTGTAGATTCTTGTTTTAAAAGAAATCGTATATTTCTTAAGTAGATACTGTTAGTGTTAGTTCTGACTCACTCTATTTATAAGAACATGCAACTCGTGTGTAATTCCAAATGGTCGGTAATTTTTCTAAGGTGTTGAGATAAATTCTAAGCATTTTTCCTCCCTGGGAGAAGTGTCACCTAAGCTACTATGTTGTAATTCTTCTTTTAAATGCACTGGAATTTAAACTCTTCGTATTAATTTTAAATAAAAGTAGCAAAATAACGAATGAAAATTTTGAACCTCGTCTGTGTATGCTTATTATCTTGTGCACCGGCTGAAAGAATTTCTGTCTGATCACCCTCATTAAATAGTTCATGGTTGTATGTTAAATGCAATGATTATAAGAATTGATAATTTGGATGACTGAGAATTGCTCTCCATGATAAGTTTACAGGGTGAGGGTTAGATGTAGTTTATTACTTAATATCATTCATAGTGTTTAAAAACCACTTAACAACCTTAGGGATGATTCTTTCAGATATTTATCAAATTCATGGTCTTTGTGCCTACCCTTCTTTTCAGTGGTAGGAAAAAGTGCCTGTTCTCTTGTCCTATGTAATCTTAGAATCAGATTCTGTGAGGTAAAAAATGTGAGTCTGAAATGGTGTTCTGACAGCGACTTTGCTTTTATATTTTGTATGCAGGATGTTTCTTTGCTCTGTGAAGCGGCTCAGAATCATGAGGACATCTGAAGCTAATGGATTTGGTATATATAATTATATGTCCACCTCACAATGTTTTTACACTTAAGGACCGACATATACACCTTGTTACATCAAATTTATTGTTTTTTGCATTGTAGCTCCAAGACTTCAAGAAAGGAAGGGGAGACAAAGACTTCAATCTTAAGCCCTTATAGAAGATGAAAACATACCCTCAGTTGAAGCATGATATACAAGACGAGATACTGGATGGTCAAATCTTTTTGTTGAAGTAATGATAGGTCTGAAGTGGCCCACTGGTTTTTTTTTTGTCATCTCTATATCTTTCTTTATTTTCTCTCGTGTTGTATACCCGCTTTCCATGAGAGTCCTCTTGTCTGGAAGCCACAAGTGTCCTAGTTATATCTGTCATATACCCATGCATACTTCACTGGTATTGTGAGTATAGGAGTGCGTAGGGTTTTAAGTTTGCTGTTACCTCACAGTGGATTTTTTTTTCTAATCCGTCAAATGGAAATAAGTTAGTCTGGTTTCTATGTATGAAACTGTCCATTACAGTGCTGTTACATGCTGATGTTTTCCTCTTCTTCATATTTCAATATTATTTGTGAGAATATCTGATATACCTACTTGTTGAGCTTGGTGGGGCTTCATATACCTAATTTTAGTTTTTCTCGGTTCTGACCCTTTTATCGCATTGCCAAGTAATTACCTAATGTGCTTATCTATTTAATTTTTGTATAGGGGAGGCGCGGGAAAAGTTGATAATTGTAAGGTAACTCGATGATATGCCCCGCAATGTGATGTGCACTACATTCTTGAATGATTTTCTTTTTTCAAATAATAGAGGCAAGGGAAGCGTCATTATGATTATTAGTTGTCAATTTTGCTAGAGTGGTGTTGGTAAAGAACCTTCCTTCTCTATGGTTGGTTATTAATGAATCTTTCTTGTCGTGTGGTACCCTATAGATGAGTAATGGGAAGCTCGCCATAAAAGCAAGGAAGCAAAATGTAACGGAGGACATTGAGAGTGCTATTCTTATTTCTTATTAGTGGTCTTGCTTTAGTAATAGCTTGATTTTCTTGAGTAAGAGATAGATATGCTAGTCCATGTTTGAGGAAGCAGGATAGAAAGGGCTTCCTTTAAAGAAGCTTTGTTGAGAGAATAGAAGTTTGCCGCGAACGGGCCCTAAGAAAGAAAAGGTAAACGATTTACTTTGGACTGTAAATTATTCACTTTGTTAGAAAAATGTTAATATAAAATTCAATATCACAGAAAATGCAGGGTTGGACCATATGATTTTAATGCAACCACCTAAATATGATCATTTTAATGATGTTGGAAGTCAGTGTTCATTGGAGTTGGATATGCAGGAAACCATGGAAAACTTAATGGTATGATGCCCACTCTAGTATCAATAGATTGGAGATTGTTGAAATCACATCAACCTGGCTTCTGGAGTGTGGGAACCCCAATGCTTGTGAAACATTGATGCTTCTATTTTTGGTGAGATGACTTTTCAGTTATAGTGGCTTGTTTGTATTGAGAATAAAAGATCGGTCTTGGAATCGATCTTTTTCATAGGAAAATTGATATGTCAAATTTGACATAATGCCAAATTCAATTTTGCTAATTAGACATTTTAGATGCCTGCCGGAGAGGAAGCAACTGCCAAATGTTGTCGTTGAGAGCTCCAGGTGTCATTTGAAATGCTGGTTGGAGTTATTCTAAGATTTCATGCATTTATACATTTATATCCTTACGAGACTCTACAGTGACAGGAGACTCGTTCATGTAATGTGTACGATTGAATTGAATTGCTGATGTATTGAATCAGAAAGTATGGGAATCATGAGACAAGATTTGAAAGACATCTCAACTCTTCTACTACTAAGTACAATGGAGTTGTATGTTCTTGATTAAGAATGCTTATATCGTTTTTTAAAAAGAATGGAACATCATTTGCAAAAAGAACCCATAGACCCCCATAGTCTAGACACAACCAACTTTAACTTAACAAATTATAACAAGGAACTTTTAGATACAAAACGAGACTGAAGCAAAATGATGGCACAAGAAGAACACAATTTTGTTTTCACAGGCCATTTACAGGTGATGTGCTAAATACTGGCTTATCTTTGCTGGTGGGAGTCCCACCATTGTTGCTGCTGCTGCTGCTTTTTCTCCGAGGCTTGGCTTCTCCAAGCATCGTTATGACATCCCTCATGGAAGGTCTGTCCTTAGGGAGCTTGGCTGTACAAAGAAGTGCTATCCGAAGGACCAAAAGCATCTCCTCTTGGACGTGTTTGGTCCCTCCGACACTCAGGTCTAATGCTTCTTCTAAAGCTTTGTTGTCTCTAATCTTCATTCGAATCCATTCAACTATATCAACAGATTCTCCAAATACAGGATCTAGTGGCCGTTTTCCAGTTAGAAGTTCCATGAGAACGACCCCGTAGCTGTAAATATCACTCTTCTCATCAACTTTCAATGTGTACCCGATATCTGCAAAGAGACCATTCAGATACATGCTTGTTAGATGTAAATCAAATAATCAATATCATAGAGATCTCTTCCAAACCATTCTTGATTTGAATAATGGCACTATGTAATTGAATGATCATTAAGTAGTGATTTAATAAACCAATCCCTGTATCTGTTGCAGATTGTAGATTAAAATTAAAAAACTCACCTGGGGCTATGTATCCATAAGATCCAGCAAC